TTAAACAGTCTGGTTGGGATCTAGCAGACATGTGGATGGTTTGGATGAAGATATTATTTTTGACAATTCAGGGAGCTCAACAGGACCATGATAGGACTTTAGAGCCAATGGACTGGCTGTAAAGAAGTTTTTATTGGTTCTAGTGGAACATGGAACTAGCTGAGGTGGTACCATTCAGTATCTGCTGGTGATTGCTGAGTGACAGCAGCTGAGATGATTGGAAGATGGGAGGCAGGTGTGCAAAAAGCTGAAGACATAAAAACAAAGAGTTGGGGACTCTAGGAACCAAACAAGAATAAATGTGACCAAAACAACAAGACAAAATGATAAACCCAGTCTGAGCCGTTCAGATCTCCAGAAACAGAATTCTGGCACCACATTAGTTCCTGTGTCCAATCCTGGTCCTCAAGGGCCACTGTTTAGATGTTCTCCTGCTCTTCAGAACGTCTTCATGCTCTGCAGAAGCCTGGTAATCAGTCACGTTAACCTGTGTGGAAGCAGAGATGCATCTAAAGTGTGCAGATAGTGGCCCTCAAGGACCAGGACTGGACTTAGACAGGTCGTGTACTAACCCACGGAGCAACATCTGTGTCATCAGAACCAAAACGCCACCAAGAAACACTCCGTTTCCTTTAGTTCACCAGCTTCCTGTAAGAATGAAAAGCCGAGGGCTGCGACCTCAGATGAACTGTCAGCGCGCGGATCAATGTGCACGGAAACTGCTGCTTTTCATTCCACACTTCAGCAGACAGGAGGAGATTAAACATGCGAACAGTAATCCTCAGGAGCTGCAGCTCTCTTCCTCCAAAGACACGCCGTTTTCACACAACGTGCTCTTCTTGTGTGAAACAAGTGAGACAGCTTCAGACCCGTCTCAAGAAACGGTTCTTGTGATTATAGAGAACGTTGAAACTGGAAGGAACCATCTGTATACCACTTCTGGTACCGGTGCTGGTTCTGTTGGATCTCAGCGCTGCCTTTGACACCACAGACCACAAGAACTCCTGCATGGAAACCCAGACCTTGACACCTGCTCATTTCCTGGATCTGGAAAACGTCCTGCTGAAAACAGACATCAGGTGTTTGAACGTCTTTGTGTTTCAATAGAGTGTCAGGCACGGTGGAGCAGTGGGCAGAGCTGCTGCGTGGGTTTTCTCCGGGTGCTCCAGTTTCCTCCCACAAACCAAAAACATGCATGTTAGACTGATTGGTAACTCTAAATTGTCTCTAGGTGAGAGAGAGAGTGAATGGTTGTTTGTCTCGTTTGTCTCTATGTGTCCCTGTGATGGACTTGCGACCCGTCCAGGGTGTCCCCCGCCCCTCGCACAGTGATTGCTGGACATGGGCACCAGCGACCCCCGTGACCCAAAATGGAATAAACGGGTAAAGATAATGGATGGATGGATGGACTGATTGGTGACTCTAAATTGTCCCTAGGTGTCCCTCTGATGGACTGAGACCTGCCCAGGTGTCCCCCTCCTCTTGCACAGTGACTGCTGGACACGGGCACCAGTGACCAAAAAAAGGCGGGTAAAAGATGGATGGATGGATGGATGGATGGATGGATTTAGTTTTCTCCCCTCCCATCTGTCATTCATCTGGTTCTGGACTTAGGTCTTGTGGCAGCAGCTTAACCTGGGAGGTCCAGAAACCTCTTCCAGCTCTTTTGGGAGGAGGTGTCCACAGACCAAATGAGAGACAGTGTCTCTCCAGTGTGTCCTGGGTCTTTCCTGGGGTCTCCTCCCAGTTGGACATGTCCAGAACACCTCCCTATGGAAGCATCCAGAGGACGTCAGAGCACGCTTCACCTCAACGGACCGACACAGAGTCCACAATACTGTGGTCCATCTGTCCATCTCTCTCTCCATTGTTCCCTCACCGTGAACGAATCCCTGAGAGGACAGTCCACCCTCTGACTGAAGACCAGGCCTCAGGTCTGATGACCTGGGTCTGGTTTTATGTTTGTAGGTGTTTCATTGTAGATGTTTGGAACCCGTCCTGGTACGTGTCTGAGTTGTGTGTGTGTGTGTGTCCCTGTGTGTGTGTGTGTGTGTGTGTGTGTGTCCCTGTGTGTGTGTCCCTGTGTGTGTGTCCCTGTGT